TTCATCCTCACAGTCCCTGCTAGTTCTTTCAACAGCTTGGGTGGTAAGACAAGAGGCTTTATCAGTGAAAACTGAGGCAAAAAATTCATTGAGTACCTCAGCCTTCTCTATGTCCCGGGTAACCAGAGCACCAGTATCCTTCCGGAGGGGGCCTACGTTCTCCTTGGACTTCCTTTTGTCCCCTACATACCTATAGAAGCTTCAAAGCCTCATCCAACCTGGCCTTGAACACTTCCAGGGATGGGACAGCCACAACTTCTCTGGGCAACCTGTTCCAGTGCCTCACCACCCTCAGAGGGAAGAATTTCTTCCTTATATCTAATCAAAATCTCACTTCTTTCAGTTTTAAGGCAACGCCCTGTGTCCTATCACTACATGCCCTTGTAAAAAGTCCCTCTCCAGCTTTCCTGTAGGCCCCCTTTAAGTACTGGAAGGCTGCAATAAGATCACCCCAGAGCCTTCTCTTCTCCAGGCTGAACAGCCCCAACTCTCTCCGCCTGTCTTCATAGCAGAGGTGCTCCAGCCCTCGGATCATCTTTGTGGCCCTCCTCTGGACCCATTCCAGCAGCTCCATGTCCTTCTTGTGCTGGGGACTCCAGAGCTGAACACTGTACTCTAGGTAGGGTCTCACAAGAGCAGAGTAGAGGGGCAGAATCACCCCCCTCGACCTGCTGGCCATGCTTCTTTGGATGCAGCCCAGGATATGGATGACTTTCAGGGCTGCCAGCGCACATTGCCGGCTCATGTTGAGCTTCTCATCCACCAGCACTCCCAAGTCCTTCTCCTCCGTGCTGCTCTCAATCCATTCTCCACCCAGCCTGTACTTGTGCTTGGGATTGGCCCGACCCACATGCAGGACCTTGCACTTGGCCTTGTTGAACTTCATGAGGTTCTCACAGGCCCACCTCTTCAGCCTGTCGAGGTCCCTCTGGATGGCATCCCTTCCCTCCAGCGTGTCCACAACACCACACAACGTGGTGTCATCTGCAAACTTGCTGAGGGTGACTTGTCAATTTAATTGACTTGTGTGCACTGTGACCAAGTTACAATTCATATAAGAACCATAACTAAAATTTATGGACTGCCTAGAAAATTAATTAATTTTAAGGAAGAAAGCTTAAGTAATTTTAACTTTATTTTTTCATGAAAGGAAGACTATAAAACTCATTTATTTTTGCTCTTAATGAGAACAGATGTCACTGTTCTGTGTAGTTTGGGGGTGGTGGTAGTCGTCTTTTTTTAATACTAGATTAGTAACTGGAAAGAGAATAAAGTCTTTTCAGAATGCTGCTAAAGAGATAGAAAAAATCTTTTGGAGGGGCTGCTTTTATCTACAGAGAAGAATGAAGATTGTGCCCTCATCATTATTTAGGTGGAGCTGTTCATCATTGACCTTATGTAGTTTACAGGTACAGGCCCTTATTCCTGGATATGTGTATGGCAGAAATTATCCTTGAAGCCCATACCATGACTCTTTTATCTGTACGTATGTATTGTCAAATGTTAAGGTTCTCTTTATCATAGAATCACAGAATCATAGAATCATAGAATGGTTAGGGCTGGAAGGGACCTTCAAAGGTCATCTAGTCCAACCCCCTTGCAAGGAACAGGGATATCTCCAACTAGATCAGGTTGCTCAGGGCCTCGTCCAACCTGGCCTTGAACGTCTCCAGGGATGGAGCATCCACCACTTCTCTGGGCAACCTGTTCCAAAACATCACCTCTATGTTTTGTCACTATATTCCTTCTGTTTAGCTGTTGCCATTTCCTGCTCTCCTGTCAACTAAATGCTTTTGTTACGCATTTGTACAGTTCAGTGAAACAGAGGTTCTGCGATGGAAAACTGTGTGATTCTTACCAGATCTCGCATTCAGTTTGGATCTGTTCACCTTTTCCATACGCAAGACCACCGTATTCACATGGACACTCCTCAGCTGGAACACACTTGCCATCGAGATTTTCATATAGTCCATCAGCACAGACACAGCCCGATTCACATTTAGTAGGTATCTGGTAAAGACCAACAGGTTGCAAAATGAAAAGAAACATGAGATGCATTTGATTTTGTATGTGAATGGTGTCAAGAGTGAACCTGTGCTAAGTTCTAGTTTTGACTTGATTTCAGTTTTGTGATTTTCCTTATACTAATATACTAGTCAATTTAACTAGTTTTGATGAAGTTCTAAGATACACCTGTTGTGTGAGATACTAAACATACTTGAAGACTCTGAAAAATTTATCTTTCATTGCTACCCATCTTTCAGACAGAGTACAACAGAAGTTTCTTTATAGCAAGGAAGCTTATTACAATTCTTTCAGTTATTCTGTTTCTTTAATATAAAGGCACAAAAAGGACAGACCAGAAGTCCACCTAGCCTGGGTCGCCTGCATCCTATGACAATCATCAGCAGATAGTTGGGAAAGAATAGAACAGGAAGCACAAACCACAAATTCTATCAGTCTCCAGTGACATGCAGCTTATGGAGTACCTGAGCCAGAGGCGATAGCCATGTAGTTAAGAATCCTTAATGGATTTTTATTTTGTTAATTTAATAGAATTTAATTCATTAATTCATGCAATTTAATTCCTTTAATCAATTCTTGAATATATGTGGGGTTTTTTTGTGTCCACAGTCTGTGGAAAGAAGTCTGATGTTTAACTTTATCACGTTAGAACAATTATCTCCTTTCGTTTCACTAGAAGGAATGCAGTCAAGTTCTAAGTAACAACTAGAACATTCTTTCTCTCTTAAGAGGATAAATATTCTAAAGTCATGAAACTCACACATTCAATTCCAGCAGCCAGCATCTGACAGGTAGGGGCACATGCAGCTCCATACTTGTTTTCCGAACTGTCAGAACATGATACATATTTCTTAGGAGCTTTGCAACTTTCTAGGAAAAAGGAAGAAAAACAAACATTGGAGACATTGTGAAGGAGTAATTTTACAACACAGGGGAAAAGAGTATGTTTCTAAGTAAACTGTATGAGACCCATACCTGCAGGATTTTGAGGTTTGCCTGCACAACTTAGCCTCCCATTAACGCAGTAGCTAGGGAAAAAAAAAAACAAAAAACGCTGGAATTTCAATGCAATTGCTCCCTAAGAAAGAAATTTTCTTTTTTTTTTTCAAAATAGCTTCATGTTTCTCACCATTGGGAATGTTTCATTTGTGTTACTAGCTCCTCCCTATCCTTCAAAATGGAATGTGAGTCAGCTTACCTCGCTTTACTTTTTGTAGTGTACAGCAACATCTGTTTTGAAAGTGAATAGTAGGCCATTCGCTGCTACGATTGCCTATCAAGTATTATTAATTAATTCCTTACCTAGCTTTGATTGCACATGCTGTTTTTCTTGTTAAATAAGCTTAGTTTTCCTTGCTAATAATAAAGTTATTAAATTGTCTTTATTTCAACTGAAAAATTTTCTTGCTTTTGCCCTTCTAATTCTCTCTGCATCCAGATGAAGTGGAATGAGCAACTGGTTGTGTGATGCTTAGCTGCTTGCTGCCATTAACTCGCAACCAGGACACGTGAAGACCCCTCATCTCCATTTTCAGTTCATTAATCTTTAAATTTGACACACTTACCAGGTAATCCCACCGGTTATTGTTGACTGGTCAGGCAGGATGTACTTTCTAGCTTCTAAGTAGCAGGGACAATGAGATTTACGAACACACTCATTCTTGTGGTTCAAGTACATTCCTTTGGGACAATTGCAGCCTTCAATAGGGATGTCAGTTGAATGACATTCCAGGTCTCGGTTGGAGAGTGACAAGCATGTCCTGTCACATGCCTGAGTGTTGTAACTGAATGTTTGATTGCCAGTACAAGTAATGGCTGCAACACAAGACAAGAGTGTATATTAAACTTCATTTACTTATCTTCTTCCTTGTGAAAGATAACTGAGCTCACAATGTGCTGCAGATGCTGTGCCAACAGCTTCAATGCTTAATGCTTCCTACTGCTTCTCTTCCTGTGGATGTGGAGCTCTAGTAAAAAATATTGCAGACCAGCGTTTAATACCAACCATGTAAGTATTTGGAAGCTTTATGAAGGTTAAATATCTTATTGGTTCTTTGTATATCTTGGAATAAAATAATGCAAGGAGAAGCTTTGCAGAAATACCAATGTATTTTTGAGTAACTGTGAAACCTGTGCCTATGTCTAAGTTGCATAATAGCAAAATCACATCTGCAACCAGAATTTTTCCGAGTTCCTTCTCATCTTCCTGTGCAGTATAGCTCTATTTATCTGTCTATTTCATCACTAAATTATTAAGTCCTGGAAACATCCATATGCTCACCTTAAAGCATCTGAGTAATCTTTTTCATGTAGTCTTAAAATAACAATCCTTTTCTGAAACTGTCTAGAAAAGTATTCAAAAGCTGAACATCTGTTATACCATTTCCGCTTTCTTCTTCTTGCTGTTCACTACTTTCCTTTTCACTCTTAATGTGATTTGGACACTTTAGAATATTGCTTTACCATTTATGGTTTTTTTTTTGTCTTATGACACATTTGTGAAGTCAGCATCTCCTGGGAATATGGCTTTTATACCTGTTGATTGGCCTACTTGAGCAATAAGTAGTTATTTCCTAATGACAGACAAGTAGTTTTAAAATATGTTCTTGCACTTACTCAGTTTTGCCGTAGGTGAATCAAACATGAGAATATTCTAAATGGAAACAGATAGACCTGTATGTATGCATTCACCTGATGGTAGACTATTAAGCGTTGGTTCAGTTACTTACTACAATTGTCCATACTGTTCCTCCAGCCCTCAAGGATTAAACCCATTGAACTGCACGTTCGTGCATACGATCCCAGAGCAGAACAAATATAAGGAAAGGTCTCTTCGTAATTACAGGCTTGGTAGACGCACCTCTGAAACCCAATATATGGAGAGTACTCTGTTACTGGGGAGCAGACCTTTGGAAGTGCTAAACATGCTGAGCTGCAGAGGCAAATGATGCAAAATACATATTGCACAACTAAAACTGATGAAAAAGATCAGATTAATTGCCTGATGCACATGAATAAAATATACTTAGTACCTAAAAAATGCCTTTGTTTATTTGCTGCTTTTCATTTTTAATTTTCAAAATGTTTTTTGGAGATTGGTAAATACAAGAAGCTCGGTTATGCGCATGGGAAAATCAACACTTTGCATAGTTAAAGTTGTCAATATGGAGAACTGCAGCATGAGCAAAAATATCTTCTGATTCATAGGGATGGGACTGGTGCCTATGAACAAACAGACTTTTAGTGTGGGTGGAGACATAATTTTCAAAACCACACTTGTTCCTTAGCTTCTATGCACTGCTGATCCAAATGAGTGGGATACTGTATGAGTACATTCTCGTCTGTATTTGGACTCTGTACTCCATCTATCGTAATTTCCTACCTTGTAGAAAGGAATAGGGTTCACCACAGCATGGCATTTCTCGAACACTGTACCCTTCTTTGTAAGAATGGAGCAATGGGTCTCTGCAGATATTTCTAATGAAAGTAAATCAGGGACATTTAACAGTGAAAGTTAGGAAAAAGAAATGAAAAAATGAAAAAGAAATCTAAAAAAATTACTACTCTAGCTGAGCTTTTGGCAATGATGGATTGAACAAAAGGACAATTTTCTAGCTTCTTATCTTGCAGACCATACTTTTGTTCAAACAGCTCAGTAGGGCTTTTTTTTTTTTTTCTTTTTTTTAAGACCAATAGCAATAGAGACCTGAGAAAGCAAAGCCTGGATTTCAGTCACAGCACTGCTGAGCAAGTCTAAGACATTGCCATTTCACTGGAAATATCACCACAAACCTCTCATTCATCATCTCAATCTCAGATCTCCAGAATGGGATCTCATAAGCTTTCACTAGATATCTATCCTAGAAATCAGAAATGTCTTGTTGGTGTCAGAATTTGTGATATTCAATTGTCTCAGTCTCTGCTTCTCTCAAACTCTCTCATTCCCCTAGTATGGGCTTTTGTGTCAGACAAAGCTAGCTGGAGAGTTCAGTTACAACAGGAGCATCTACTTACTGTTCAGTTGACTCAAAGCACAAGGGTCAGTATCTCTCTCTAAAGCAGGATGGCAATTTCCTGCCCTCCAGGAATCTACAAACAGGGAGGCTGTTCCTTCAGTGATATCCATGCTAGTCATGAAGTCATCTGTAGTGTCTCCATTGTAATTGCCACACAAACCTAATAACATCAGAAATGGAAGGGGTGGCTGCAAATTAAAGAATGTGTACACAATGGTCTATGCTTGATTCTACAATAGTGAGAAAAATGATTCAGAAGTTCCACATGGTGTGTCAATGAATACTATAGCTCAAGTAGCCAGAGAATCTTGGTTATGTACACATTCAGTCATTGAGCCTCTGCCCTCTCAAGCTAAGATTGTTCATGTCTATTCAATGACAAATTCATACAGAAGTTTTTTGTCTTGTTTTCAGAAAGAAATAAGTCTTTCTCAGTGGTTTTAAATCACATAAAAGACAAAGGTCATTAAATACTTCTGCAGTTACATGTGTTTTCTTATGTAATCTGTATCTGTAATGAGAAAGAATATACATTTAGACTTTTTTAAAAGCTGAAGCTTCTCTGTTATTCCGCATAGATAATTAGGATGCAGGATATGCCTTTGTGGCTAATGTTGCTGTTCAGTAAACATAAACATCTCCATCTGGTGCTCATCAGCTGAGAAGCTTTGAGATTCTGAGGGTCATTGTGTTTACTGCTACCATGCACTGCTTTCAAAGGACTGTGCTCCAAGATGTAGAGAGCACACAGACTAGTTCGTTGCCCCTTCATTGTGTAGTAAAGCACATATTGAAAAAGGCACACATAAAACGTGATTAACAGTATTATATTACCCATGAAAGATGCCACCCATCTAATTTCTTTGATTCATTTTGAAGTTACTAGCAAAAAACAAATTTTTAGCACATTGGTTTTCCAATGCAGGTATTTTTGTTGTTTTATCTTTGAATCCAGAGAAGAAAGTTTTTCCTTAAAGGATGAGTACTAAGCTTTCAAAATTACACTCCTTACATTTTCTCCTCCACATGGGGAGTAGATTTCTTACCTAGGGTTCTGCTTTTGAATTGTGATCCAACTTTCACATAAGCCTGGAACACAGGTGATGTTTGAACTACAAGTTCCAGCCCGAAGTTTGTATACATTTGAATGTACATCGAGGACTGTCTGAAAATAGTGATGTCTCCTAAAAGATCAAAGATATTTAGAAATAGGGATTTTGATGCATAGGATATTGCAAAGTAATGATTTAATGCACATGTAAGTGTTCTAGCATTCTGTTTACAAGTCTCCTTCCACACACAACTCTCCACAGAGGAACAGATGGAATGGGAAGGATTTTAACCTTCCTCTAAAACCTCTGCTAGTGGCAATTGTGAGAGAAAAAGATGCTGGGTTCTGCAAAACAGACATTTAATGTAATTTGGATTTTATATATATTCCCTTTTCTTTACCTGATCTGTAAGGCAGTCGCTTAAGTTCATCATCATCAGTAAGGAGTTCATTCCGAGAAATCACAATTTTGTCCTGTAAGAAAAGATAGTGCAATCAGAAGCAATTTTCTGTACTGATGGTATTTATATGTTCTTTAACATAAGCAACTGTATTGTTAGTGACCTGTATAAAAAGAAAAAGATTGATTCAAGCTTTTTCTCACATGCTATTCCATACTGCTTTCAGTTTTCACTTTGAAAATATTCTAACTTCCTGAGTTGATGTGGCAACTCAGATCTTTACTGTGTATGCATGAACTGGAAACATCTTTAGTACCTATCCCCCATAATTTTTTAGTTCAGGCTGCTAGCAATGACTTTAAGTATTTATTTTACTAATCTGGTTACTGAAATGCTGGATAGAACCTGTAGAGGGAATACTTACCTTTGTAGAAAGGTAAATTATAGCACTAAGTGAAGTCTCAGAATGAGAATAACCAGACTTTTCATATACAGCCATTAGGGTCCCATTGTGTGGCAGGCTGGAACTCTGGAGGAAAACAGTGAAAAGGGAAGTTTGAATTAGAATAACAATGGTTTGTAGAATAAACGTGTATCATAGGAAGACTTCAGTTTATGCTCCCATAGCAAACCAAAGACAGACTAAAATATAACCATTTGATATTGTGTGTTTCGAGACTGCAGAAAATTACCTTCATAAGAACATAAGTGCAAACTCCATGGAACCTGTATGATCTAGCATCAAACGTGGTAACAAAGGAGCCTCCTTCCAGTGAACACCTTCCAGGGCAGGGCAAGTCTTTACAGTTCCATTGACCCATCGTACATTTACTGAGGAAAACAAGAAATTCTGTGTAAGGTTGTCCTCATACAAAGACACTATTTATGAGCAGAGGATTTGATCCTCCTGTCTGGATGTTTTGCTGTAGCTGATCAACATGTAAAATAGGTTAATGAACACAGTGCAACATACATACACACTCTGGACTTTCATTTCCACTGCTTTGAATTTTCTTTTCTTTACACTCTAAAAACCCAGCTACTTCCTCATAATGGAAGATGTAATTTGTATCACTTTCCCCCTTATGCTTTCTATGCTTTGATTTTCTTTGTCTGTGTATGTCAGTTGAAGTTGTTTATCTTAATTCAAATTTATTGAACTCTTGTATGGATTGTCATTAAAGTTTCCTGAATAGATTAATCATGAAGTGTGTTCTGAGGATCAAATTCCAGTATTTATCCTTTATTTTATTTATTAGAATTATGATAGCAAGAGAAGTAACACACAAAAAAAACATTATTAACTTTAAAAAAAATAAATCCAAATTTAAAAAATATTGTCTTAAGTAATTATTTTCTGTTGTGAAACAGAAATTTAGTTTTCAGCACTGATTTGGTGATCAGAAATGCTGAGATTGCCAGAAAAAAATTGTAAATACTGGATACTTGTTTGGTACTAATTTTGCCTCCACTTTCACAGAGGAGATAAAAATGCTACTGTTTTGAGTGGCCTGAAGGAGCATTTATATTTGTACAGACTAATCAGGAAATGAGACATGTACATCTTCAATTACAAATGTATGATTTGTGACACTCAGAGATGGTATGACACATTTGCAGCTGCCCTCTGAAAAGTTAGGCTAAGTTTTCCAATCACTTGGTAAGGATACTCTCCATCCTCTCATGAAAGTACCTGTTGCTACTCACCAGGTCCTACATGCAGCTTTCATCGTCTCACCAGAAGCATATATTTTCCCATTCAGTGTACATGGACACTGCTTAATGTGAACACATGTTCGATTCTTTGAGATGTCATCAAGAACAGTTCCTGACAAAGAAGATGATACACAAAATAAACACTCTTCCATATCCTCACTTAGCACTAAAGCTATTATGTCTTGAATGCCTTCCAAAATTAGCTTGAGAATGTTATTGTTGCACTGCCAGAGCCCATACTTAGAGATATAACATGCAGGACATTTTATCTTAAGTAAAATAAAACTGACTTTACAAGTGGTAACAGTGTTTCGCTACTTTGTTATATGAAAGTTCAGCCAATTGTCTTAATTTGAAATTTGAACTTAATTTGAAATAACAGTAAGCTTGAATGTTATTTTTTCACTTTTTTTTTTTTAAATTTACTATCACACTTTAATTAAGTTAGGAATTCTGAAGAATGGGCACATTCTATTTCCTAGAGTACTAAGTCTAGTTTTAAATATGTAGCTCACAACACATTACTTTTGACTACTATAAAAAGGTGATGATATTGAGGTAAATACCCACATCAGAGTAACCTTGGAGGATATTTCAGTTCTGAAATTTCAAGAAACGATACAAATGATACTCATAATTACAATTTTTGTAGGGAGTTCGTCTTGAACTATTTTAAAGGGATTTTACAAAATGCCCATAATATTGCAGAACTCCTCTGAGGTATGCTACCTCTTGCTGGTGCCCTGAAAGGCTAGATATCTGTTGGGATAAGAAATTAATTAATCTTACTCAGTGCGTATTACAGCACAGAACTTTAAGCAGGCAGCACATAGTTATCCCATCCCGTATCATGGTCTTGTGAGGAAAATGCTTTCACAACTCTGTTCTTGCAAATAGTGACAAAGCATCTTCAAGGACCACGACTAGTCAAGACTCCAGTTATATTATGTTATCCAAGAAATGGCAGTTCTAGCAGCACAATGCCCTGAAATGCGCTGCTAGTTCATTATTAAGAAGTCTGTTCCACTTGACTGGCTATATGCCAAAAACCTTTGTATGGGCCGTTTAGGATATGATGAATACAGAAACGATACCTTCTGGACAAAAGCAACCATAGGTACAATGACTGGAACAGCTGTACTCTGGATTGGAACAGGTTTTAATGCATGGAGAACCACATTCCTCATAGATTTGGTTAGCAGAACATTTTCCCACAGCTGCAACAAACAGTGAAAGTGTTAAGATTTTTAAAGTGTAAACGTAGAAGAATCTCTCCTCTGCCACCTAGGATGGTGAAGACCTTGTGATTTCTGGCACTAAAGTTCTCTTACTCTGCCTCAATACTCAAGTCATCATCTGAGTACTCATCATTACCATCATATTCACACTAGATTTTGTTCATTTTTCAGGCCCTATTTATTAGAAACTCCTTTCAGAAGCTTGAAGAATGGCAAACAGGCTGCATTGCAGCCTAATAAGCTACCACAAATCAGATTTTCTGTAGTACTTGAAGGATTTAAATAATATAACTCTTGATCTCCTGTATAGTTCTGCCTTTTCAGACTCTATCTGCTTTTCAGAATGCAGCTACCTAGGAATTCTAAGATATGAAACTCAGAATATGTTTTATCACATGATAAATTCAAGCAGAGACTTTTCCTTGTCTGAAAGAATAAAAATAAATGAGGTAGGGAAATAGAGGTAGTCAGAGATGAGGCTGACAAGGAAGCAATAAAGCCTGAAAAGTTCATTGTATATTTGTATACAGCTTTGTATATTTAGCATTCATTTGTAAATTCTTGGATTCTCATCTTTGGGTTTTTTTGAGAAACAAGAGTTCTCATTCCCTTTTCTTAAAAAAAAAACCAACTTTGCCTTTTATCACTTTACTGCCAGTCCTAGTAATGGTCTACTGGCAACATGAAAACTGCGATGACTTGGAGAAAACTGGGCTATTATTTTACTGTGATTAGTAAGAATTATTGTACAGTTCTGTGAATACACACAGTGCCTTACTAATATCTCTCTGAATCTATAAAATTTCAAGAGTAGTTTACAACTTTGAAGGATTAAAACCAATCACAGACAAACCAAAGAATAAAGTGAGTTACAAATTTATGTAAGATGGATAACTTTGGAGAATAGGAGGGGAAAAATTATTTTAGAAAGAAGTGCAATTTTAAAGTGTCAAGTATAATAACGGAGCTTAGTAGGGAACATTTCCAGTAAATGTGAGGAAAGAATGAAAGAAAGCTCAATGTTAAATACAAAACAAAAGATGAAGAGTGGCATCAGTGTATGAAGATCAAAAGAACAGAAGATTATGGCACTGGAGATACTGGGAGGGCAAAATGATGCAAGGCCTTGTAAGTAACAATGGTGAAAAGATAGACTATGGCAAGTTAAACAATGACTTCAGAAACATAATTCAATTGGGATGTCACTATCCTTATGCTAAAATCTAAATGGTAGCCAACCTTAAAGATTTTTGAAACAGAATAAGAATTAAGGAATAAGGAGAAATATATTACTGTCGAAGCAATTTATTTTACTAATTTGCTACTCATGATCATATATTAATATAAAGGATAAATAAAAATATGATTAAATTATATGTTTCTGAAGGGCAATATATTAAGCAAAGTTATTTTGAAAGCTCCTCTTTTTTACGAGAGCGGTATCTCTGGTAATTTAATGTCTGAGTTGGCATAGAAATAACATCAATTTATGTTACATTTGACTTTTTAAAAGATCAGCATGTTCTCTTATAAAACAATAAATCTTGCTACATAACACTGCCTATAGATTGAAATTTCAGGTAGATTCAAAAAGACTGCAAAAAGTGAATCAGAACCTTGATAACAAACAGGCACTTGAAAACAAAGTGTCTAATTGCGTACAACTTGGAGAAAAATGAACAATTTCCTTCCTATTTACTTCCAATCAGTAGCTGTAATTAAGAATGTTGAGCATCTGAAAATGGACTATTGAAAATCTCCTGTGAAAAAAGGGGCTATGGCAATTGTTAGCAAAAAGATTCAGAGACTTCAGAGGCTATTTGAAAGTTCTCTCTTCACTGGCTAGTTTATAAGTGCAATAATGAAAAAACTGTGCTAAGAGAGAAGAGCCTCCTGTCAGAAGTTTGAGAAATTCAACAGTTTTCATTTGGTGGATATTTCTCTCTTTTATAGTCTCTGATCTAGATGTATGAGCTATGTTTTATGCTTCCTCCTTCTCCTTTGAGGTTTCCACACTCTCCTTCTTAATGCTCTTTGTCCTAAGAAAATATTGTATTTGATTCAAGACAGTAGAAACTTTTCTATCAGTTAATTTAAATTACAGTTAATCATCATTCTTCCTCTATATAAGCTCTAGCAAGGTTAAGTACGATCTCCTGTGAATAAAGCTTTGAACTTACAGCAGAAGTTTTCAGTTCTCCAGTTAAGCACCATTTGATGGGACATGGCACATTGCCTTGAATACTCTGACAATGTAGAGCAAGTGCAATTGTTTTGTCCAGGCTCACTGCAGTCCTGCATATCAAGCTGGCAACGAACGACAAACCCATCCTTTGGCACACTGCAGGTTGGTGACACCAAGTTAAGTAGCTGAGAGCAGATCATGGCCTAAATAAAGAGAGAAAGAAAATTGTTCCTAGTAGTGTTTCCCCCATGTGAAAACCACAATAGAGTATCACTGCTAGTTATTATTTTCTTGTGTTTTTTTTCCTTTTTTTCTCCTGCAGTTTAGTAATATGTACTTGAGTTAAAATGCATGAGAAATTCACCAACAGAAGGCAATATAAATCCATTGTATAATAGAAGGATCTTGATATGTTGAATTAGTTCCACATCTCATTACGTCGAAAACCTAGTCATTCTTTCAGCACTGTCGATCCCCCTAAAATTGGCTGAGAACATTACAGACAGGGAGTAAGTTGCCTCATGGAGACTCAGTTCTAGGACAAACATCCCCGATACGAGGAGAGCAAGGTTCATTCCCCTTTGAGCAAACATTTGATATGTTTGTATTGACCATCATGTTGCCTACTTCAAGGTCTCAAAGAGAAATAATGTAAAAGGGTTAAACCTCCCAGCCAACAGAAGTTCTCCACCAGATCAAAGAAATTTTTCAGTGTGAATACAAGTAATATTTACAACCCTCTTCTTCAGAATAGTACCTTTCTTACAGGACTCACAGAAACTCCTGTTGTTTATTGCTGCTCCTTTTGTTACAGAGATGCTACAAAAGTAAGGTTTCTCTGGTTTTCTTTTTCTGGGAAAAGGAGAATCTCAGGAGGATTCTAGCTGGCTCTGTAGTATGAAAGCTAAACTTTTCAGCAAGCGGAATGGTTTCTATGTTCAAACTAAGAAATTCTTGTGTTGCTAGAAAAATAGCATGGAACAATTAAGGAAAAAAGGAAAAAAAATTCCTATTTCAAGAGAAAACTTTTTAAGCATTCGGTAATTACTAATAACCTGTATATTATATACAAATAAGTACATGAGAATTGCAAAGTAGGATCATATTCTTGTGAGGAAGTACAAATAGAATCAAAGAGCATGATCATTCTATGTAACGTGAGATGATTTTTAAAGGATAGCAATGGCTACTTGCCATTAGCTATATGGTGACTTTATAACCGCTAAAAAGAACAAGTTGCTGAGAGAAACTGTGGAGTTTCCATCTCCTCAGCCTGGAAGATGCACCCAGGACATACTCAAAACCTGCTAGGACATTGGCCTGGATAACCTGCTTTAGCTGATTCTGCTTGAGCAGAAAGTTTGGACTAGATGATCTGAAGCTAAACCATTCTGTGATTCTGTAAAGTCTGTGTGGGAATGCAAAATTTGAGTTTCCCTGGTGAAACTACTTAAGAGGATCATCCTAAGTAGGATTTGATTCCTGTACCTGCAAAAGCTAAGAAATAGGAACCCTTTTGGTTTTTGTTGTTACCAAGCTTCCTCTTTCAACCATAGTTACATTGATGCATCATGTTTCAGGTATGTGGATTTTCTTCTCATCTAGGACTGGAAGTAATAGCAGTTGCTAGCAGTTGGCCCTGTTATGAATACTGTTATCTGGCAATATGTTTAAAGCACCATTGTCTTCAAGTCTGTACAGTTTATAATGTCAGGTCTCTAGTTCTTTAAAGCTTCACAAATTCCATGAATTTCTTATGATGACCAGCATGAAATTTCAGAAAGCTGTGCGCTCAATGTTGTTAGGTTTATATGATCGATATGAATCCAGCCCCAATAATGCCCATGGGCCTTTTTCAAAACGTATTTTAATGCAAAGAACTCCTTTTCTTTCTCATATCATGCTATACAAACTTTGATTTTATTCATTTTCGTGGAAGTCAATTTTAAGAAACCACTGCCTCTCCATTGTTGGTTTCTATCTATCTTTCCACCTCTGTTAAGAAACATAGAATCATAGAATCACAGAATGGCATAGGCTGGAAGGGAAAAGCCCAGAAGATCTTTCTTACGTATTTTTGGTGAGGAATGGTGGAAGTTGACATCTCCTCAGACAGGCAGATCTCTGATGGATCATCCATTTTTTGTAACGCAGCAAATTTATAGGTATCCAGCAATTTACCTGTAAATTGAAGGGTTAAAATTTGTCAGGAAAAAGCCCACATGGATTTATTCAATTGTTGTTGTGATGTAGCAAAACTCAGATTCTCCTCTTTGACTGTGAAAAGTCCTACTAATTAATTCGCCTGATGATAATGACTACCTCTTTTGCCATCTCCCTGGAGTCTCTTCAGTAAAGCACACTTTTATCACCTTGATCATTTCTCTGAGCCATTTCCTAATCTATCACATCTACTACCTTACATGAC